AGTTGGTAATAAGATTTAATTTGTGACATGAATGATTTGGGTTGTATCCTGATGTGATGCATTATTCAGAAATACCAAGTAATTGATCTGCAAAGCAAGTGATAAGCTGGTTGATCTATGGTTATTAGATGCAGCAAGAAAAAGGGTTTTGTGTACTCATAATCCCATGCTCACTGCCAGAGAGGGGTCAAACAGGACTCAGCTAACAGAAGCTTTCCTCAAGCAAAATTTCCAGCCTGCCATTAAAGATAGTGAATAATTCTTAGGGACAAAGATACTGTATAATTCTTTTTGGGGGGACAAAATTGTATTGCAAAAGGGAGAGGCAGGAGTGACAGTACCCTCTTTTTTTTTCAGATTTATTTATTTATGCACACAGAACTGGGGAACAGGCCAGAGGTGCAGGGGCAGTGAGAGGATTCACCAGAGACAGAGTGGGGAGCAGAACAGGACGACTGAGGAAGTACACTGCTGAGGGGAGCAGCGGGCGGGTCAGGAGAGGTCTGCCGCGCCATGTGGGTCACGTCGGGGGCAGGTGGGGATCGAACTCATGCTGAAGAGGCTTTAGCTTCTTAGTGCTGTGCTTTAACCTGCTGTGCCACCAGGGAGGGCCGACAGTACCCTCTTAACACAGGAAAGAACAACCCAAGTGTGTTGATTGTGCCAGAAAGATAACTGGGAGAGCAACTTCTGTACGTTTTTCAGCTAGGAGGAAAAAACAACCTTAGTTCTACCAGTGCATACACGTTTTCTGTGTTATGTTTTTTTATTGCTGTTTTAGCTTTTGTGTTAGTAAAGAGAGGACCCTAATCTCCAGTGCTTAGGGCCTTTGGGGTGTTTATCTAGCCTCACTGAATGGGAAGCCCCTCCCCCACCCCCTAGTTTTCTGGAGTAGCTCAGCTTTTAACTGTGTGTGTTGCATGTTTCTGTATGTGTGTGAGAGAAAGGGGGAGAGAGAGAGAGAGAGAGAAGGGGGAAAGGTTGGGGGGGGGGAGGGAGATATTGGGGTTTTAAATAATTTCTTACTTGAAAGAGTATTATCAACACAGTCCAGAACACAGGTAACAGAAAGAGTTCCACGTAGTCAACCAACCACTTGCTCTATTTGATTTGTTTTAGGGGAGTGACTTGATCAGATTTTTATCTTTGAACTATTTATTGTTCAGGGGGGTTGGAGGTAGGGAGAACCTCTGGACTTCAGCTCATCATCTGTGGAATAGATGCTTCTGGCTCTAGGACTTGTTTGTGGATGAACCCTGAGCCCAAAATCCTGTAAATAACAGGTCTGGCTTATGAAAATCAGCCAGGGAGATTATATAGTCCTCACATTTGGCGTCACGGAGACTGTTTGATGTTAATGGGTTTACCGGAAAGGACTTTTGTGGGGTTCATTTGGCCTACGGCAGTCTAGCTATTGATGCAATCAGGAGACCACAAAGCATGCTTTCTCTGCCCCATCTTTCCTTAGCAGTGAGTTTCCTGTGAGTCATGCATCTGTGCTGTAGACCTTGGGGAAAGTAACCATGTTTCCAAGGCAGAAGCAGGGCCAACTTGATAATCCTGTGGCTCTGGAGAGACTTGCCAGAGGCTTCTTCTTCATCCTGTAACTTGCTCAGATCTGGCCAGAGCTACAGAGCAGCCAGAATCGACTCCAAGTCATAGTAGTAGAGGCCAAGGCCTAAGAGATAGTGGAGGCCAGGATCCCCCAAGCCTTCACCTTTGAATTTCCTGGAAAATGGGGACAAAGCCTTCCTCCCATCCTTTTAGGTCTAGTTCAGAAAGTCTGGAATAGGAGCCACAACCTGTTTATATATATATATATATATATATATATATATATACATTTAATTTTATATATATACTTAGCATGGCATTTGTGACCACTGATCTTAGGTCATACTTTAATTTTATTTGACTTAAAATGGTAAATATATGTTATGGAGAAAGCCCCACTCATTTTTCTTTTAATCCAGTTGATGTAATCAAGTGAAAGGAGCACAACAAATGCATGTTTGGCAATTCAAATAGTAGAAAGACAAGAAAGATGAAAACCAAAAGCCTCTCATGCTTAGTCCAGCTCCCAAAGGTAAACACTTATAACACTTTGTTGGGATTCCACTCACAGAAGAGTTTTCATTTATATTGGTAAAGACTAAACAATCTGAAGGAGTCATCATATAAATTCTTTACCTTGTACTTTATTTTTTTTCTCCCTAAAAGCTTCTGAACCCACTATAAATATATTCTTTTAAAGAATTGTTATATAACTATTGATTACTTTTAAATAACAACTTATTATTTAAAGAAAGTCAGTATTTTGGCCCTCCCTAGTGGTGCAGCAGGTTAAAGCACAGCATTAAGAAGGTAAAGCCACTTCAGCATGAGTTCTATCCCTGCCTGCTCTGGAGGTGACCCACATGGTGGGACAGACCTCTCCTGACCTGCCCGCTGCTCCTCTCAGCAGTGTACTTTGTTGATCTGCCTGTTATGCTCCTTACTCTGTCTGGTGAATCCTCTTGCCACCCCGGCGCCTCTGGCCTGTACCCCAATTCTGTATGCATAAATAAATAAACCTTAAAAAAAAAGTCAGTGTTTGTAACTCTTGGACAATGCTTGGTGTGTATGTAGCAAGCTTCATGTATTGGTTAAATAAGTGAGTGAATGAATGAAAATTCCTGTATGGTATTCTGTTACAAGGATATACCTTTCTTAATTTTGATAGTTATGGACGCTTTTTTATGTTAATGACTATAACCCTGGGGACTCTATTTTGGGCACAGCGATCAGTCCTTATTTAGAGTGACAATAGCAGCATTCACTGATTACACAAAGCAGGAAGTAGGACTGGATTGGGAGTTTTGCTTGGGTCAGAGAATCACATAATTATAGATCTTAGATCTCAAAGGAATTATAAGAGTTTGTTTCAGACCTAAACCCCCC